GGACCGTTTACAATGCAAATACCGTAGGCAGGCACAGCTGCCAAGGAGAATGGCTGTGGGAGAGGATACGGAGTTAGGCATCTAGAGGCTTGGAGGAGATAGGTAGAGGGAATCAAGAGGAAAGCAATCTGTGAAAATGTAGGCTGGAGTGAATGGTGACAATGATGAGATGACAATATCAAATCCTGGACCCACATGTCCAGCTGCCTATGGACAGGATGGCAAAGAGCATCTGTCAGCCAAGCAGCACGGAGAAATGTTTTAGAATTAACAACAGTGATCTTGTTGGTACATGCCTCTCCAGTTTATGGAGCTCTCTGCTGACTGCTGTCACACTGGGGACGATCAGCAATCCTGGGAAGCCACTGTTACGCTGCTCACTCCATGGATGAGAAACCCAAGCTACTGCGATTTGACTGACAGAGAGATGTTGCAATCTCCATGACAGGATGCGAAGACTCTATGATGCAAGGGTTCAGGAAAGTTCAACTCTGGTGCACAAACCCCTACAGCCCTGAGGTCATGTCCATTAGTCTGGAGAGAACGTTGTGCCAGCTAGGAGAACTGCCACAGACCATTTTAAGGGGGCATCTGGTCTTCTGGAAACTGGTAGGAAGGGGTGCTCACAGGTTTGGGTAACTGGAGTGAGAACAGGTCCTGCGCGCTGACCGAGAGGCCTGGTGACTCAGAGGACTTGTTGCCTCTCAGCCAAAAAGTCAATTCTGCACTGATGGGCAAGGGGGCTCAGGAAAATTTGCCCAACCTCACACCGCTGACAGGTGGCAGGCAGTGCCTTTAACCTTTGGCCATTGATTCTAAGTGCTGTGCTCTTTGTACTTCACCAAATAGTGTAATGAGCCTCTGGGACACTATTTGCTCCCTAGCTCGCTCTTCTGCAGATTCATCTCATCTCTTTCTTCTGCAGATTCGATCCCTAGTGTGAGGCATGCAGGAAGCAGCCAATCAATGATTCTTTCTTATCATTGGTGTTTCTATCTCCCTCTCCCTTCCTTTCTGAAATCAATAACAGTGCATTAAATAAACCTTGGCCGGACAGATTCATTTTGAGAGCTACATTGCAGAAGGGGTGCTGTTGAACTTGCATACACGTGGGGAAAAGGGAACGCAACAGTGAAGGCCATGGCAATGCCCATGCATTAGAGCTGAGCATGTCTGGCCCGGGAAGGGCTGGCCTTGTGGGGACAGGATGGCTATGTTATAGAGGGCAAGGCTTTTAGAGGGAAGAGAAATTTGATTTTTGCAAAATGGTGTTGAAGGGCAGAAGTGTCAGATAAAGATTTTTGCTTAATGCAAGTAAGAAGCTCTGAATAAGCACAGCCATTCTGAAATGGAATAATATGCCTCATTAGGTAGTAATTGCAATTGATATTAAAGGTATTTGAACAAAATGAAATGATGTCTGGAGCCAACACTGCCTTTTTTTCCCTCTGGTAACATAGCTTCCTCCTGGCACAAGGGCCTCGCTGCCACCGCCCATCCTCCCTCCAAGCAGGATGTGTGGTATGACTGGCTTCTTGGACCTGGGATGTGAGCGGGAGTCTGACAAGTATCACTTGCTTAAAAGGATATTCCTTGCCCTCTTTTCCCCACTCCTTTCCTGTGGGCTGCAGTGAGATAGGGAGGGCTAGGGAGCTTTGCCCACACAGGCAAGGACAGCATCCCAGTGCCAGACAAAGCAATAGGGCAATCCCAGGATCGCTCACTGGTCCCAGGCCACCTGCCTAACCAGATGTCATGAGAGGGAAAGAGATACCTGTGCAGCTTTGGCTTCTGTATTTTTGAGTCTTTCTGATAGAATGCTGTGTTCAGATTACTATAACTATTTTTGGGAGGTATACAGATTATGAAGGTATTATATCAGGAACTGTAAGCAATGATTTCCATAATTTTATAATCCTATGTCCATCCCCCCAATAAAAGAAAGATTTATCAGCTTTCTTTCAAAACCAGCTGTCCCAACAGTCCTCAACATAGTCAAACATAGGTACTCCATTAGGTCAGTGGCCTTGGTTTTTAAGGTACCGATATTCAAAAAAGCCAAGAACTTTTGATCTCTCCTGATTCTCTTTCATCCCCATGTCAGGCCTGTTCCTAAGGCTCATCTTCTCTTCCTTTAGAAAGCATCTTCCGCAATGACACAGATGATAAGGAAAATTTAAAGTTCTATTTGGTTTATCTAAATGTGGGGATTGGCATATTTATTTTTTATTTTTAAACTACGTATTACTTAGCTGGTGTGTGATGATATTCTCCTGTACTTGTTTTCCCTTCGGGGAGAACGCGAAGTCCAGGCCTCCCTGATGGTGAAGGTCTGGATAATACACATATGTTTCTGCTGCAAGGAATCGAACCTAATTTTATATTAGTCAACACACTCTGCCAGAAGAATACTTTGATGTATTAAATACATCTCTAAGTAAAATACTAGTAAAGGAGTTGAGCTCATAAAATGAGATGCCCGCCTCCTTGCCTGGGATCTAGGAAGAAATATGCCAGTGGCAGGTGGGCCCATAGATCTGCCATTTTCATTTCAAATTTCATGTCTTCACTCATCTTTTTCCTCTTACCCATAATGACCTCACCTTTTTCCTTCCAATTTACGCAAACTCCATGAATGTTTTAAGATTTTGCTCTATGATTTTCCTACTTTTAAGTCATCCCTTAACATCCGTGGTGTATAATTCCAGACTGAATCAAGTTGCCAATAATTATTCCATATTTCATTTTCACCCAGGTAGCTATACTCCAGCTCTCGTATTTTTCTCTGGAACTCTACCTGTTCTAAGCCTAATTAGGTGTTTTGTAAACAGATCTGATGCACAGGTAAGCAAAAGATATTTTTTTCAATGATATAAAAATTGTCAAAGAAGAACAAGATAGAGGTCTATTCCCCCACTGAATAAAGACTATTCCCAAGGTCAAATGAATTTGTTTTTTTCCCCAAATGGAAATTTCCAAAAGAAATGCTTTTATAAACGTTGAGCTTTGCTGTTAGTAGCACTTAAGATACTGAGCACAGAGGCCCTTCCTTCCTTCCACATCTGTGTAACTTGAAAATTATTAACATCAGCTCCTTCTCCATCCTTTCTCATCATGGGCGAATTACAAACATCACCGACAGTTTCTCCAGCTCATGCTTCTCGATTCTCCTCGTATGAAACATGCTTTAAACCGTCTTTCACTTTTAAGTTTTACCTTCATTAAATTCCTGTCAACACATTCTTTTTTCTTTTTTTTAACATGGAAACAGAAAGACAATGATACTTTCGAATTCTACCAATGACATAGAAAAAAAAAAAATAAAAAAAGCAAGGTTGAAAACTCATACTACTCAAGAACAAGTAACTTGTTGAGTCTCCAAAGCAATTTCCCTCCAACACACATGCGAGGATTATTTCAGCAAAGGATCGGAGGTAGAGTGGATTTATTTGAGGCACTGATATTTCTCAGAGCTTTTGTAACCACCGATTCAGAATGACCGGCTTCTTTCTAACTTATGGCGAGTCCTTCTTGTCCCGCTGCCTGTTTAGCTGAAGGATCCTGCCCTGCGAGAGTTCACTCGGCTGCTGCAGGGGCTCGAGAAGGCAGTTACCAGAGATGCTGGCATATGAGCTTCAGGCAAACCAAAATGGAACCCACAACATGTGAGATGAAGGGCTTATCCTAATATGCAGACTGGGTAGGAGAGGATATAATTAGTCTAGAACGCTCCTTTCATGCTGCATTTTTCAATCTCTGTTGCAGCTTTCTCTCAGGGGATAGGAAACTCTTGAAGGGGAAATGCATAGGCTAAACTTTATAAATTTAAAGTGCAAAGTATGAACACTTAAGGGAAATAGGAAGGCCTTGGGGAAATCTACGTAAGTAGAGCCAGTTATTAAGTATTTATATTTTCCCATCAGCTTAAGAAAGGGCAGACTTTCCCTCTGGCAAGATGGGTTTTGCTTCCTCTGACGTGGGCTTCTTGCTGCCGAACATCACCCTCAGCCCAGAACTGGTAGGCTGGGGAGGAAGGCCAAGACATGGGGGCTCTCTCTCCTGCTCCTCTGCCATGCAGGCCACCAGGGGTTGCAAGGAGGCCTGGGGGCAGGTGTTGATGGGCACCCATGCCTCTCCTCCAGCCCTGGTTATGCTTTCTGAGGCCTCTCAGAAATCACTGATGTTTTTCTCCCCTATTTGTTAACTCAAATCTACTACAATCACCAATCACTTAAACTACCCATGTTTGCTGGTCTGGTAACAACAACGCTTGTTAAAGAATTCTCCCTTCCTAAGCAAGAAAGAGAAGCTATGCATACCTTTTAGCAGCATTTGGAAATGAGATGTAGAATCTAAGTTTCTAGATGCAACATTTCTCTCTTCAGGTTTCATTTGTAAACCATTTTGGGGATGAAGACTTAAATATATTTTTTTAAAATTCCTGCCTGCCTTGAGAGAGGGCACTGAACACTCAGCTTCTTCCTTATGCCCCCTGGCTGGCCAGCGGCAGGAACTGGAGAGGGCTGGGCTGGGAACACGGGTCAGGCTGTCGGGCCTTCCACCCAGTGTTCCTGGACTTCCTGAATTGTTTTATCTATCTCTTTCTGTTTCCTCTCCACAAATTCTTGCTGATGCCTGCTGGTTCTTCTTTTTTTTTTTTTTTAATTTTCTTTTACAAAAATCCTTAGTTCATTAATTTTTAGTTGATCATAAAATATGGAAGCTCGTGAAAAGCTTGTTTCCTGTCAGAAGAGCTAGGCTAAGGCCCTATGAGTGCAGATTTGTCTAATCCAGAAAGTTCCTGGGTCTTGGTGTATGTCCAGGGACACTTGGTGGCTTGTTTCTTCTGCTTTGTCATCAATTCTTCCCTTTCAGTTGCTTCCATTACTCAGACAAGTAATCTCCACATCTGGGATGCATTGTGTTAGGACCAGGTACAGTGTCCTTTGGCTGAGGGCCTGTGTATCGCTCATGAGCCGAGAGGGTAAATAAAACCTTACCTTTTTGTAGAGACTCCTCAGGTCTCGGTACTGCCACATGCTGTTGAGGACCTGAGATGCGGCCTTGACCACTTTTGGAGAATGTCTGGTAAGAAAAGACGGGACATGCAAGATGGTGAGTGGACACACGATTGTCAGGACGTGGCAAGAACAGACATCCTCCTGACTTTCTGGCTATTCCTCTCAGCCTGGGAAGCACAACAGATAGTTCACCAGTCTCCAGCCTCATCCTCATCAACACACCCCTGAGGGCGGGAGTCAGGAGCGCATCATAATTTGCCAAAGAATGTTCAAAATGCAAACAGAAGAGTCAGAAGGCACAAGTTTAGCATCTGACTATGCAACAGAACAGAAGAGAAAAACATGAGAAAGGACCAGATTCGGGTGTTTTAACAGCACGTTGTGCAGTGAGATGAACATGATATTCATCTTCTCAGTGGAAGCGTGAGAGCATAGTCAGTGCTGGCTCTCATGCCTGCCTGGCTGCAGGGACTTGCTCTTCACCTGCTGCTGATGCCAAGAGCAAAAGATGGGCAGTGCCGCAGATAGTGGGCACACGCTGCCGTTCGCACTCTCACAGGTACCCAGAGGAAGAGAAAGCATCTACAAGACAACCCTTCATATGATTAACATTCCCTCCTTTGAGCCATAGTGAGACTATAAGGCTCTAAGGTCACTTTAGTGGTTCTATCATTTTTTTTGGATTAGTGGTTCTATCATTTTTTTTTTTGAGTCATGGCTTTGAAAACCCTGTGAAACTTATAAATATTTTGCCTTTTGGTTCAGTGCCACTCTGCATCTTAAAACAGACAGATCAATATGTCTATGTGGGTATACTTCTATCAACTTCTTGGAAGTCACTTAAGACTAGTGGTGAGGGAAGACTATTACTAGCTACCTGCAAATTCTTTGTTCTAACAAGCTGGTTCTACAGCCAGCTGCCCAAGTCTAATGGCTGCCATTGACCTCATGCCCATATCAGGGGCTGGCACACTTTTTTCTATAAAGAATCAGAAAATGAATATTCTCTGCTTTGGGAGCCGTACGGTCTCACTTGCAGCTACTCAATTCTGCCATTGTAGCACGAGAGGAGTCATAAATAATACATAAAGGAATGATGTGGCTGCATCAATCAAGTGTATTTTACAAAAGCAGGTGGTGGGTGAGATCTGGCCCGGGAGCCATAGTTTGCCCATCCTGGTCTATCCTAATGGTAACTCCTAAAGCTGCATAGATTAGAACCAATGCAAAGTACACCCCCAAAGCTGACCCATGAGGCAGTGGCTCCTGAATACCCTGAGAGAGAACATCTAAATCCAGACCACAAATGCCTTCTAAATAGAAAGCGAGCAGATGGTTAGATGGGACCAGGTTGAGGTTGGATTTGAGAGACAGAGTAAAATGGATGTTGTGAGAACAAGCATTTTGTAAAGAAATTATGGGATGTAAAATGTGTACTATTTTTCTGGATCTTCACGTTAGCAATTTACACCAACTAAGTTTAAGTTTTCTTCACCCATTTATTCACGCTAACAGTAACAATCACTCTTACTATTATTAACACTGAGATGGAATCCAGTATTGGCTGTTGGAAAATCTATTAGTATATCATGTACTTTTAAAAGAAAAAATATAGTTATTATAAATTCTAAATTATGTTCCTCTATGAGAGATGAATTACATAGTATAGTTAAGTAACAGATATATTTTCATTTTATTAAAATGGATGATTGCTAAATGAGTTCATAATTTATGCCAGTACCATTATCTAAATATAATATTAAATTCCTTTGACTTAAAGTCAGAGAATTTTAGATCTTTGCATGGATATAGATACAGGTACATTTTAATCTCATACAATCAATGCTGAACAAAGATAAAATCGTATGTTTTGCTGTGTTTTATCATTGTTAGCTGGGTATTTATCCATGACAATAATCAAACAAACTCTAGAGAAACATTAATATTCAGGTAGTGATAGTGTAGTTGAAACATATATATTAATTATGCAAAAATTCCTCTGACACAGAGTAATTTTTTGTTTTTACCTCTTGCTTAGTTACAAAATAAAGACCATGCATGTATAACGATAGTAGGTTTTAACCTTTCAATTAAAATGCCAATACAGCTCAGTGTTATAATAACATGCAGAGGTTAAAGAATCATTGCTTTCTTTAAGCCTTTAACATAAATCCATCCACTAGAGTGGTACCATAGCAACTTCTACTTGAAAAACTATACCTATTGATTGAAGGACTTAAACAATCGAGTGTTTTAAATGTGACAAGTGATTTTAACCTCAGCCACAATACACACTTTCTTACTGACAAGTTGCAGTTGAGTCTGTTAATGGCTTTTCTGTCTTATGACAAAATACAATGGCACATTCAACACGATTACCTATATAACTGTTAAGATTAGAAACAAACAAATTTATTTTTTTAAAACAGATGGATGTGACAGGATGTCCACAATGAGTGTTTAAAATGATGTGAACAGAATAATATAAGTTATTGAGACTGCAAAATGGCAAGTATACAGCTCCTGGAAGAGTCATTAACAATTACACAATATTTGATTTTCACCAGAGGTGTCAAATTAGGGCAGATGACAGTTAGTTCAGTTGATGGTGGGTGTTCGAAACAGCCATTCCAGCAGCAGGAACCCAGACCACTCCCAGGATTGTGTTCACAAGATACGGTGTGTTGTGCAGCTCAAACAGATTGTAATTGGCACCTTGACAGTGTGACTCATTAATATCATCTGTGTTTAAGCAGTGATAACCATATATAAAAGCCTAAGTGATCATTCAACTGGTAGCTATGATGTACACTGACCACCAGGGAGCAGATGCTCAATGCAGAGGCATGGAAACATGGAATAGACTGATGAATTTCAGAGGGAAGTGGGGAAAGGGGAGGTTGGGAAGAGATTAACCAAGATCTTATATGCATACTAGAGGCCATTGGCCCAAGGAGTTCCTCGGCCTGGCCAATAAGGATCAGGTGGAAATCAGCCAGGTGCATGGATTCGTGCACCAGTGGGGTCTCTCAGCCTGGCCTGCAGGGATTGGTCTGAAACTGGCAGTTCGATGTCCCCCGAGGGGTTCCAGCTTGCAAGAGGGCACAGGCCAGGCCAAGAGATGCTACTGGTGAACAAATCTGTGCACCGGGCCTCTAGCTTAAAAATAAAACTTATAGATCCACAACATGGAGAACCATAGGTAGGTTCATTTTTTTTTATTTGTGTTTTCTCATATTACATTTAAAAATCAGGCTTGAATTAAATTTATTTCTATAAATACTTTTTAAAGGACAATGTAAGGCAGACAGATTTGCAAGCATTTTATTAATTAACTAGAGTAAATTGATATTTCTCCTTTTTCCAATTATAAAATCATCTCCAATTTCCAAACTTTTATTTTCAATAAAGAATTTCTGTTTTATAAAAGCCTGTTAGAAGGCTATGGCCGTTTCTCTGACTACTGTCGTAGCAGAGCTGAATGATGAAAGGTGAATTTAGTGCTAAATTCAGAGCAATGCTTCTGGATTCATTTTTAGAGTCGTGAGAGCTAATAACCAAAAAAGTGTGAGAGAGGAGAATATTGGCAGCTATAAAAACCTGTTTTGAACCCCAAATTAGCCACTATATAAATAGGAGATAAATTACATGAAAGAATCCATGAAACTGACTATAACTTGGAAGATGCTTGACTCAAATCAGTACAACACTTCTTATTAAACATGTATTATATATCCAGATTGTTAACATTGTGCCATGAAACTGACTATAACTTGGAAGATGCTTGACTCAAATCAGTGCAACACTTCTTATTAAACATGTATATCCAGATTGTTAACATTGTGGGGGAAAAAGATAAAGGAACAATGAGATGCAACAAGTGGCTTTTCCATAAAAGAAATTTCATTCAAAAAAGAACATTACTGAAATCATCTATCATGAAAGAAACTTCCCAATACCATAGTAGTCAACCAAGTCATGAGTTATTAATTAAATTGAAATTACCAGTGAGACTAGGTTTCACTCTGGGGTGGGAAGACTGGAAACCATTTGCTGTTTTTGTTCTCTTGATCATCAGAGACAAATGCTTTTCAGTGATATTGGATAGTATTACCCATAACCAGGGACTGTCGGGCACACTTAGAACCCATTCTACCAACAGCATCTGACTTACTTATCTCCTTTGCTTTTGGAGATGCCAACCAACTTCTCGATGCCCCCTGCATCCCGTAAGGCCTTGGCGTTCTCCATGTTCTTGGTGATCACTTCATGTAGGGTGCAGCAGACGGCTGTCACTGTGTCATCCGACATGGCCTTGCTTGCTGCATTGTTGCTGTTGTTCCCGCCTGGAAGCCTGTGGACCAGGTCCCGCATGGCATATTTGCCTTTGGGAAAAAATAAAGGGAAGAGTTGAAATGAGGATAAAACAAAGGAAGAGGTCAGAGGGAGAGGTGGGCACAGGGGAGAAAAAGAAACACAAGAGACAAAATTAATGCAATCTTGTCTTTTTCTGTTAGTGAATTAGTCTCCATTGGGTAACTGGGAACACATATAGAGAACACAGTATTTCCTCATGATGAATTCACCGTCTTGGGTTCTAGATGGATATGAGATCGAACCTTTGGATAGGTTATTTCATTGCCTCTTAACCTCATCTTTTCACATCTGTAAACAGGAACAATGATGGAATAGATCTCCCAAGATTGCTATTAAGATTAAGTTAGTAAACAATTAACACACAAGGATTACTGAGGACCTAGGCATGGATAGATGTTAACAATTGGGAAAGGGCAGAGGGTGGGATGGGAACCTGGTGGAGGAGAGCAATGGAGGGGGGAAAAATGAGGAACATTTGTAATAATATGAACAATAAAGATTTATTAAAAAAAACAAAAACAAAAACAAACAGTTGTTTCCTACTTGGCATTCACAGAAGTCAAGAAAACATACAGTAATTCTAATGTAACTGCCAAAATGCTTTCATGGGAGCTATGTTGGGACCTATATTATTTTACAAGAATCACAGTGCAAATATATATTACTTCTGTGTTCTGGCTCCTAAGAAGCAAAGAAAAACATAAGGTGAGAGAGAGAAGCTTAACAAATAATATCTAAAGAGGTGTCTTTTGAATCAGAGTAACTGGATAACCTGTTTGTCTCAATGATAGGATTTCATGGTATGGTTCTACCCATATAACACTTTTTAATTTGACATATTTTTCTTCATATGAAAATAAAATAAAATCCAACTTTGCATCCTTAATTTGTTTTATCGTTATTAATTTTCTACTCCCAATGATAAAGGTACTTATAATGACATCTTTATGGGGTACTTCTAGTTTACAAAGCACTTTAGGCAGTACCAATAACCCTGCAAGACAATTAATTCATCCCACCTGCAGCTTCCAATTCTGTCCCATTAATTTACTCCTGGAACTAAGTAAATGAGTGCCTGTGGCAAAGTTGGCTGTTCTTGAATTTTTCATTTAGAATTGGCACATGTCCAAAGTTAAATCCCTTTCTTATCCCCCATCCCTTATTAGATATGTTTAGCTTGCAGCTAAAAACTATTTGAAATATTTTCCCTCCATACATGCCTGTAAGGGATAGCCTCTTTAGCTGTCTCATTCTCTTGTGCTTAGTGCCTGGGGGTAGGAAAAGGAATCTCTTGGGAGGGAACAATGATATCTTAATTCCAGGCAGTAAAAATAATAAAACATAAGCCTTTGTAATTTTGGTATTTTCTCTTGCCCTATCTATGTATAGGTGACTTGTGTTAGCTTGGATAAAAAAAACAACACTGATGTCAAAATTACTGAAATAAGAAAATGTCTTCATCCACTTTATCATAGCTGAGAAATGTGTGACAAAATGGTTTACCTGAAAACCCCTAAATGTAGCACATTTACTTTATTTTTTCTAAATATTTTTGTTGTTGTTTTATTTTGAGAGAGAGAAAACAGGAGAGATAGAAACACTGATGAGAAAGAGACACCTATTGGCTGCTTCCTGCACACAGCCTCCTGGGGATGAAGCCCGCAACCTGGGCATGTGCCCTGACTGGAAATCGAACCAATGACCTGTGAACCAGTTTCCGGGCAGCATATTTATTTTCTTATGACAGCACTTAAGATAGTTTGGAGAAGATCTTTTGTACCTGGGCACTCCTCTGAGCAACTTGCTTCATCTATATTTATCACTAAGTCATACTCAACTCTGGCTAACAGTTTACCATGTTGAGCTCAGCATGCTGATGACTTTACCAGTTCATCAACCCCCACAACCCACGAGCCATTGTAAGACAAACCTGAGTTCTGTAGTTACTAGAGGATGGATGTGTTCTTTTTTCTTTTTTCTTTATAAGGGAGGAGATGGAGGAATGAATCAGAAAACAGTTTCAAATATTGTGCATACAGGGCTTTCACACTCCTGACGGCGTATGGAAGACTGATTTTTGTGACCTTGGACATCGCCAAGGTTGAAAACAAAAACAAGGAGAGGGCGAGGATTTGGCTGCAGCATTTTAACATTTTCGTTGTTACTGTCATTTTTTTTTTATGACAGCAGCAAAATGTGAAGATGTGGCTTTCTAACCAGGGAGCCCTTAATGAGCGACAAGGTGCCCCTGCCGAGGTTCAGGTGGCAGAGACAGTCACTTCCCCCGGAACAGCCCTGTGTGCTGAGTAAACACTGTCATTTTCCACGTGCTCCGAGGCCTGGAGAACAGCGGGAGCCACTGCCGAGTATAACCCTCACAAGCTGTGGAGGAAGCCCATTGGGTGATTTTATTTCCATTATTTCCAATCTAGTTCACTGACATTTTACTAGGCAACTGGAGATTTTTCATTTAGTCTATTTATTAACCTATTTGAAGGGATACATTTTGGTCTACATTTTAACCATCCAAGTGGAGAAACAAATCCAGGAAAATTATTCCAAAGGGCAGAGGACGGCTGGGAAAAATCTGTTAACTCTTTTAAGGGCATGCGATTGTGTTAGCCTTTGATTATGCTGCTGAGAAAAGCCACCCTCTCACACTGGAATCCTATCTTCATGTGAAATTTGGGTAGCAAAAGTAGCTTTTTAGCTTTTCCTTGTGCCTAGGAACTTGGAAGCTTATTGGCGGGAGTGGGAGATGGGGAGAAAACAAGGAATATAGAATAATTTCGGCCGCAAGTGACCTTGAGTGGCATGCTAATAACAGGTGTTCAGAGAAAGCAGATTGGACTGGGTAGTCGTGGCAGGTTTGCTATGGGAAGGGGGCGTCTAGGATTTATCCCATATATCAGAAGGATAGCAAAATATTTTACAAAGAAGATTCTCGTGCATTAGAAGGTTTCAGAATAGTGATACTGAAGGTGGAAGGCACAGATATTAGCAGTCTTTTTCTTGACAGTAAAGCTCTCTCTTGGAATTTCTACTGCAATTATAAGCATTACCTTACATTTATAATGTTCTATGTCCCCTATTTTCTTTGTCCCTAAATTTCTAAACAACAGAAAGAGTGAGAAAGCTATTCTTGTTACCTAGTAAAAGGAATCTATCTTGTCCCACTCCCACCACTACACCTCCTCAGGTGTTTGGTGTGAGATTTGAGGTCTGAGATTTGGATGTGGAAGTAGTTAACTAACTTTTGGAGTCAATTCTCTTGCTTTGTCACAGTAGTGATAAGGAAAAGTTGCAAGGCTGGTGAGCCAAACATGAATTTTCACCATCAAGGTGATCCAATTGTTGTTTTGGTTTGGTTTCAGACTGAGAAAGGGATGGAGATACGTTTCATCTTGGGCTTCACTCCCAGGATGCTATCACTTTAAGAACCTTGAGGAGAAACAAGTTGAGGTTCTGCACTGGCCCAGGGATGTCAGGGGCACTTGAGGCTCAGCAGTGCCCAGTGGTGAGCACAGGGCTCACCCTGTGGTTGAGGCTGGCATGAGGCAGAGGAGCTTCCTGTCTTAGAATGAACTCTGAGGTCCACAAAAGGGGCAGTGGTGCCAGCAATCAGGGAAGACTACCACGCCTCTGAATTTAATTTGGTTTACAAATGATATGATACAGACCAAAAGTCAGGGAGTGATGCATGCCGATGATATGACTGAGCAGGTGTTATAATTTTTCAGGATAAAAACAAGGTCTTGTAACTACAAAGAGCTGGCCATGGGGGAAAGAGATGGGATCGAATCCACACCTTGGCATATCAAGATGATGCTCACCAAATGATGAGCTACCCAGCCAGGGCTGTGTGTGTGTGTGTGTGTGTGTGTGTGTGTGTGTGTGTGTGTTATAAAATGTGTTTTTTAATAAAGTATAGTTGATATATAATATTATATTAGTTTCATGTTTACAATTTACTGATTCAACTTTATGCACTTTTAGAAGTGATCACCATGGTAAATCCATCTGCCACAATATAAAGTTATTACAATATCATGAACTACATTCCCTGTGTGGTACATTACATCCCATGACATTTATTTTATAACTGGAAGTTTGTAGCTCTTTCACTTTTTCATTGCAGCATTATTTGTAATAGCCAAGATATGAGAGCATCCTAGGTGTCCACTGACAGGTGAATGGATAAAGATGATGTGGTATATCACTTAGCAATAATAAAGAATAAAATCTTCCCATCTGTGACAACATGGATAGACACAAACGTATGCTAAGTGATAGGCTAAGACAGTGGTTGGCAAACTCATTAGTCAACAGAGCCAAATATCTACAGTACAACAATTGAAATTTCTTTTGAGAGCCAAATTTTTTAAATTTAAACTTCTTCTAACGCCAGTTCTTCAAAATAGACTCGCCCAGGCCATGGTAATTTATGGAAGAGCCACACTCAAGGGGTCAAAGAGCCACATGTGGCTTGCAAGTCGCAATTTGCAGACCATGGTGCTAAGAAAATGATAAATACTGTATGATTTAGCCTATATGTGGAATATAAAGAAAAGGAAACACAAACTGTAACAGAAACAACATATAAACACAGAGAATCTATATTTAAAATATTTATTAATAAGGAGAAACTTGTGTTATTTTGCTATTTGTTATCTATATATCTTATATTTTTGTAGTCCCCCATTTACTGCTTCTTTTATGTTTATTTGACTTTTTGCAATAAAATGTTTTAATTCCCTACTCATTTCCTGTGGTGTATATCCTATAACTATTTTCTTTGTGGTTACCATGGCAATTCCAGTTAATATCCTAAAGTTAATATCCTACACTCAATTTAAATGTATCCCAATTTAACTTCAACAACATACAAAAACTCTGCTCGTTATAGCCCTATCCCTGCTCCTTTCACTTATGGATGTCACAAAATTACATCTCTATGTTGCATGTATGAAAATATAAAATAAAATAATTGTTTTTTTAAAAAAGTATC